GCTCGCTGCGGCCCAAATGTTTGCTTACGTTGAATGAGCTGCCATCTAGCTGGCAGACATTAATACTACATGTCATTGAACACTCGGCTTCATGATATAATCAAAATGAAACTGTTTAATTTACTATCATGTGTGGTATCAAGATGCTCCGGATATGTACCTTGTACTTGTCGTCCCTGCCATTGGATCAATTTATATGATAGGTTTTTTAGCACTGGGGACGAATTTCTCTTTGGCAAACTGGGCCTTACGATCAACAGAGGGTAATGAACTGGGTCAGCAATACATCGGCTACTTCCCATGGAGATGCGTCGCCAGCGTGACCTATTTGGAGAGAGTGGCTGGAGGGCATCGGTGGCATGCATGTCTGTCTCTCCCTGGTTTCAGTGTGAGAACTCACTTGATAACGTCTATATATATATAAATAGCTGAAAGAGATAGAGGGAAGTTACAAGAGAGATAGAGAGAAGACGAGAGAGCGACCATGTGAGCGAAAGATAAGGGAGAGCGAAAACGCACGTAAGAAGAAAAAGAAAAAAGATTGCAAAGAAGTGCCGCAAAAGAGTGAGAAGAAGACGTTAGAAAAAGAAGAGAAGAAACAGAAGATTGAGCCGGAAATAGTACCGAGAGAATTAGAGAGATAGACACATGATAGAGGAGAGAGTGTGTGGGTGAGAGGTAGAAGAGAGAGAGAGCCAGACGAGATTGAGAGATATGAGAGAAGGGTAGAGAGAAGGGGGGGGAGAGTGAGAAAGAGAGTAAAAAACCCTTTGTCCTGCGAGAAAAGAGAGAAAGAGAGAGAATGAGTTAAAAGAAGGCGCGAGACAAATAGGCGTACTACTGATTCCGCGTGACTGTATTCACTTCTATTTCGTAACGATCGCTGCGTGCGGCCAGCATATACAGGTTATTTTTTTATCCATACCATGCAGGCAAATACAACGCGAGCTATGGATGGCTGGAGGGGCCAGCTCTATCGCTCTTCTGGGTCGATCAACCCGAAACCCACGCTAAATAGCGCCATCGTTCTGGTTTGCCGACGCGTCGGATTGTCGTCGGCAGATAGCGAGTCCGATGCTCTGCGCCTGTCTAAAGACGATGTCGTCGGCGCAGATCTTTACTGCTGCACGTTCCGGTATACTATAATTCTATGTGTACCCCTCTAATTTTATCATCATCTTGAATTATTATATTTATTATTATTCGGTTCGGATGGAATTAATTTAAATAATAATTATAATAGATGATTAAATCAAAATCGAAAGTTCGTATTAAATACGGCCTTGTCGATTATTTAAATACCTCTTATCGTTTAGATGGTAAGCTTCTCAGCGCTGTTGTTTGCTTTAGAAATGTTGCAATTTTGCATGAAGGAAGTCGGAAAATACGTCCATGGTGATCGAGACGTTTCACTCAGAGTGTATATTAGTTATTATACAGTGTAGGTAGATCTGCCAGAATATAGCATAAGTAAGTTCCCGAATACCCAATAAACGTTTAATTTTCACTAGAGCAATACCCGTGCACAACGTGGAGAGTATCCTTAAGTGTTACATTTATATAACCGTAGCAACAGACCTCAGATAAGCCCAGACGCTCTGCGGCTCTTGTTCTATCTTTATCCATTTAACTATTTCTTTCCAATTAAGGTAAATATTTACATGATTTATTTACAACAATTTCATAACAACAAATGATCTTTACAACAATTAATAATTTTTTTTTTAATAGGGTTAGGGTTAGGGTCACAATGCACCATAAAACAGGAGTTTCAGGCACGTGATTTGTATCAACCAATGGGATTTGGGAGGTATGCAGAATGCAGAAGGTTGCTGAAATGATGTGTACGCAACTGCGTATCTGCATATCTGCGCCTAACAAAGGTGTCACTATACGCACGACTTAAATGTTACGTTTATAACCGTAGCAACAGACCTCAGATGAGCCCAGACGCTCTGCGGCTCTTGTTGCTTTAATAAATTGAAAATGATTACACTCCCTGCTTTTTAGAAGAGGTGGATTTTAAAGATAAAAACATTTCCTATTTCTTGGGGGGGGGAAATCGGTGGAATTTATTTATATCTCTGCTGCTCTCACACCATTACTTAGGTTGTCCTTAATTTACAGGTTACCTTTAAATGCACAGGGTGTGGTTTGTTGCTGCTGTGCATTCCCCCATTGTTAATAAACCACTACTTTGGTTGCCCTTTACAGGTTACCATCAACTGTGCAGAGCGTGGCCTGCTCCTGCTGCGTGTTAGGGACGAAATACGCATGACAATTGCTGCTTACCAGACGCTGTATGAGAGCAGTGTAGCATTTGGAATGCGTAAGGCACTGCAAGCAGAACAGGGAAAGATCGAGATGGTGTCCAAAGTGGACAGTCTGGAACATGAGAAGCAAGAGTTGGAGCAACAGCTGAATGAGCTAAAGGGTAAATGCGAGCAAGTGGAGAAGAGAGGTGCCGAGCAACGTCAGCTTGAGGAGAAGAAGCATGTTGAGGAAATACAGTTCCTGAAGCGTGCCAACCAGCAACTAAAGACACAGCTAGAAGGAATTATCGCTCCCAAAAAGTAGAAAACACCTGTGGAAAAATTGCATCACATTTATGCACCGGATGATACTTAGGTGTAGCAAAAAACACGTGTAATTTGTTGAAATTGACGATAACGCTTTCAATGCATAGTAAGTATAAACACAGTGCGGTATACACATACTTTTAATATCACAAAAACAATACACACGAGCATTGGCACGCACGGATGCACGCACGCACACATACATATTATATATACGAGATACTAATATTGATAATAATTTAGATTCATTCAAGGTTGTATAAATGTTTATATGCAAATTATGGTGAAATTTGCATAATTTAGTTTACCATTATTTCCATGCACTCTGTTTTTGTTCTACAGAATATCCATTTTATTGTATATTTAACAAATCAGTCAAATTAGTACAATACCCAAACGTTGCAGATTGTTCAGCAAACGTTGTCATTAGTTATAGAAGTTTGTTCATCTAGAGAAGTACTGGTATATATGTTGCTCATAATATATCACATTCAGTACCTAGCTATTTTTTTAGATAACTGATTTGGTGAATTCTAACAAGAACATTGATGTCTTTCGCAATGTCGTTGAATGTGTAACATAATAAAAACTGTCTAAACTTAAAATACATCTTCCAGTTAATCAAACGCAGTGGCTGGAGGTACGGTAGCCGTCGGTCGTTGAAGCCCCTTTTTGGCGTTAGGGTTAGGGTTAGGGTTAGGATTAGGGTTAGGGTTAGGTGTTCTAGTATCTGAAAACGCACCAGCAAACCGGCCCGAGTGATTCACTCGGGCATTCCTCCGCAGAAAAGGATAGGGACACTTTGTAACCCTATCCTCTTGGGTTTGGGTTACATTATTGTATCTAGCATTTTGCATGCGATCTCACGAAATTTCAATGAACCCCGTTCTGTCCCAATATATAACCCTCACCAAAATATAAAAAAGGTTATATGGGACAGAATTATTCGGTCTAGTTCCGGCAGTACCCTGGGGGACATAGACCCTATGAGCGTCAGTGACACAGTAACAGTTCAGTACAGTTGTTTACGCCGCAATATTGTCCGTCGTTGTTGAGCAACATCTAATTAACGGCTAACAAGAGGAGTTCACGAGAAACAGCACAATAAAAATCCCTGGTTAATTTCATTTTACCTTAGAAGTGACTTTATATACTGTGAACCCTTTTGAATGACGACTAGGCTCTGTAACCGTAAAACATCGAACCCATGGATCTTTCTTGGAGGGGGCCATTTCGGTTGTTCATTTGTTCTATTAATATAAGAAAGTTAGTACGTGATTTTATTTTACTTATAACAATGACTATTTAATTTTCAATAGTATTTTAAGAAAGATCTGACCGCTTATTTTAAGTTAATACAATAATTTTTTTTTATAACATTTAACATTTACTAAATTAGATACCAGCAGTGCTGCATATTCTTTATGTTGATTGTTGAATAGCTTTATATGTTTACGGGCCATGGCGATGTTGCTATAGGAACTGTACACTAATGAATGCTGTGAGAGTTCACGCGTAACTTGATTGTAAGCATAGATAAAACTTTCACAAAAGTGAAACAAATAAATAATAAGCACTATGATACCACCAGCATCTTCTTTAGTTCGCCATGACAACCCGGTGCTTGTCAGTCGAAAAACTGAGAAGAAACATCAGGTAAGCTAGACAATGACATCATTCAATGCCATCATGTCTGATCAGACTGATGTCAATCTGACATTGACAATGACAATCCATGATGATGAAGGAATGTCAATGTCAACGACTCAATGAACCTGCAGGCTGCAGCAATGCCAATAGCCAATGCCGGCAGCATGAAATCATTGAATGATCATCATGCATAACCTCATATATGAACAATGCAATGTTATTTGCGAGTTAAAGTAACGTATCAAAGCTAATTTTGATAACACTGGAGATTGAGTAAAAAAGAATCAATTTTATGTTAACCAAAGCCAAAACCTAGGCAAAGGCAAAGAAGAAGGGAGAGAATTCCAATATGGAATGTCGAATGACAGAAACGAAGACGCAAAACTTAAAAAAACGTGTCATAGTAGTATAGTACTTAGTAGTACCTAGATACAATAATGTAACCCAAACCCAAGAGGATCATAGGGTTACAAAACCCAAACCCAAACCCCCCCCCCCCTATCCTCTTGGGTTTGGGTTACATTATTGTATCTAAGTAGTACCCAGATAACATGCTGACGTAATAACTAGTAGTAGTAGTATTAATAATTAAAGCCTGGTGCCTTAATTGTTGTAGTGGTACGTCGTAAATGGGGGGGGGGCTTATGTCGCTGTCGGGGTTGCGAGCCGACTCGACTGGAAGCAACTGGATTTCGAGCAACTGGAAGCGATTGGCAGCGACTATAGTTGCGTCCAGTTGCCCACTGTTCTATTCCGAGCAACTATAGTGCCCTCCGCTCTGCCACAGGGCTATATAGAACAAACTATGTTGAAAATGGGCAAGCGAACTAACTGCTCGCACGAAAAACAGCTCACAAAACGCTAAATGATCAGGCTTTTTATTTTAACACTTATTTATCTACATGGACCTCTTATGGTCTATCTTTTTGAACACTTTTCACAACTTTACACCGTGCATTTATTTATTTATTCCTCTTAAGTGTTTTGTTTACATTTACTTACGCCGTTTGAACGGAATTTTGCAAATAGTACTAGGACTTAGAGGAATAAATGAATAAATGCATGGTGTAAAGTTGTGAAAAGTGTTCAAAAAGATAGGTAAGAGGTCCATGTAAATAAATAAGTGTTAAAAAGCCTGATCATTTTGCGTTTTGTGAGCCGTTTTTCGTGGGAGCAGTTGGATTACCTATTTTCAACATAGTTTGTTCTAGATAGCCCTGTGGCAGAGCGGAGGGCTATAGTTCTAGAGCTACATGTGTCATATGATGGGTACATTATGATTATGTAATATGTACACAATACAGGTGTACATTATGTGAAAACCTTATTTTATATATATGCTTATACATGACCTTACGTCATAAACACACACAATAAATACATATCTTACAGATCTTTATATATATATAGACAATTGTTATGTCTGACTAATACTAATAGTAGCATGCAGGGATGGGAATCTTCCCCGGATCCGCGGAAATCCGCGGATTTCACAGTCCCAGGGTCGATTTTGTGAAACGTCTAAATCGGTTGGGAAAATTTTAGGGGGGAGTTAGAATGTACACATTTTCATTTTACAGTCCAACAGTACCTTCATTTAATAACATTGTAATATACAGCAGGCTGTAACATTGTAATCCCATTATGCAATGATAGCATATTTGCAAGCGCCAGCATAAATGTGATGTGTATTATACATTGTATCAAGCGAACCAGACAATGCGTCTAGACAATACGCCTGTCTGCAGTGTAAGTACTGTGGAGGCGTATGTAAAATGATGAAGGCCTTGTATACCACCGCTTGAGTGTGCAAAATAAATCGAAACGGAATTCATTTCGAGCAGTGTTTTCATGCATTTGACCACTAAATATGGTGAGATTAATTGAGAAGGCGGACACATCTACCATAGCAGAGATCGACAAAGATGTGAGGAACAAGTTTCGCTGGGCTTGGTTAGAAAAATCTGTCACACTGAGTGTCAAAATCGGAAAGAAAACTGAAGAGGTGACGGAGCGGTTGAACGACTATGTCGGAAAGTGCGATGTAGCTGGCAAGGCAGTGTTTGTACTGCAGTAAATTTGAAACTGCCTGGACAATGAACATCTTATATTATATAAAGGTTAGCCTTTGGGACAGTGTGGATCGAAGTGTACATTAAAATAATTTTGTTTGCAGAATGTAATTAAGTAAATTTTTGTATTGATTATTAATTCTGGTGTTATGATAATGACAGTGCAAGATATACTCCCTGCAGTGTACTGTAATATGCTCTGTAACAATACTGTTCTGTATGTGTCTCCTAATGCAATTTTATGCCTTGTAAGTTGTGAAAATTCAAAAACTTCCTGAACCCCCTGACCAGGCTTCGCCCTGGACCTGACCGCCCCCCCCCCTGCCCGCTGGACCTCGGCTATTTTCAGCTGAAAACACAAATTGTCATTGCCATCCCTGAGCATGGCATGATGTGTCGTTATGGTGCCAGATGAACAGTTATATAAATCGTTACGTTTAGCAGTTACGTGAACGTTATAGGTCTATGCGTGTCACTCCAAATCTACTCATCTCTTCCTCAGTTATTTTTTTTCTATTCTGAATGCACATTTATGGTAGGCTTCGCGGGCTCCTCCTCTTTTTCCCTGCCTGAAAACCTAAAACGACCCCTTCCTACTTCTTGCCCCTAACCTGAAAAGATAAATGCTAATTAATGATTTTATGATAATTTTGTTTCCTACCTTGAAGTTAGTCTTTCGATCGGCAGTTCGTCTTCATATTTGTTTTAGCCTGACATGATGAGCCAAAATTCCTTCCCCAGACTCCTTTGCTTCTTTCTCTTTCTGTTACTGAGAGGTGACCCCAAATATAACTCACTCGAGCCGCGAACCTGTGCGCCATATATAGCCAGGTCAGCTGGCATGGTGCCAGCCAGCAACACCCCCTCCCTGTACCGGCTATTAGGTGCAACCCCCTCTCTCACACCTTTTGGTACCAGGGGTGTGCTGGACAATACCAGTGTCGTGCAATCCCTGCCCTGTGAAGGTGTACTTATAGGTTTAGCCCCCCCCCAAATCTCTACAATAACAACAGTTAGATAATGTTCATTATGTCATATTCTTTATTTAGACAGGTAATAAAGGAACAAGCCCAACACAATTGCTGCAGGATCGTGCCTCACCTCCTTTTCCTAGTCCTCCAAAGAAGTTGGATCCAATTGAAACTAAGGTTTCGCAGCAGACAGAGGAAATTTTACATTCAATTCTTCCACCACGTGAATGGGACGAAGAAGGACAACTGTGGATTCAACATGTATCGAGCACACCTGCTACGCGGTATATGCAGTGTAAATTTATATACTGAAAAATGCCATGTACAGTATTTATATAGATCTTCATTTTGTAGTTCACAGTAATATCTACCAATCGCCTTGTTGTTATTAATTACTATCAGTAAAACTATTTAATAATAAGAAACTAAAGAATAAATTAAAAATAAATTTTATTTAGTTATTTTCCGCACTACTCTCTGACCCTTCTGCCCCTCCTCCATCCTTCACCCTCTTTCATTCTATTCTTTTTCGTTCTTTCTTTCTTTCATTATCTTTTTCTCTCCTCTTCTCTCTCTCCCTCCCTCCATCCCCTTGTCTCTCTCATGCACGGACACATGCACACACTCTCCCTTTGTGTTGCTCTTGCTCGTCCCTTTTTACATTATCTTGCTTTTTTGCTCCGCAATAACGGATAATGCTTTTTAGGTTGGATGTAATAAATCTGCAGGAGCAACTAGACATGAAACTGCAGCAGCGGCAGGCCAGGGAGACGGGTATTTGCCCTGTGCGGCGGGAACTCTACTCCCAGTGTTTTGATGAGCTTATACGACAGGTGATATTTGCACAACTTTATACACTTTTGGTTTGGTAACAATATTGCAGTACATCAACATTTTAATCCGCACCGCCTAATCTTATCCTACATGTGGGTTATTTCGTACCACCATAAAAAACTTCTCATCATTACTCATCACAAAATTTGCTCCCAACCCTTGGAATTTGTTCAGACATCAAAATTATTCCGAGCATTCAAAAATCTAGCTGTGTAGCATCCCTATATTCTAGGAAAACAGTTTTTAGCTCATCTGACATAGTCAGATGCAGCTTGTAGAATCGCATGATCGTCCGTCCGTGCGAGCGTCCGTCCGTCCGTGCGTCCGTCAACAGTTGGGCACAAATCTAAACGGCTCGACGTACGGTCACGATATTCGGGACGTGGGGGGGTAATCCAAAAACGAGTTGGGATGTCAAAGCTGGGGGTCATAGGTCAAAGGTCAAGAGGTGTAAAAGAAGGGGGAACATTCCCTCCTTAACTTAAGGTATAGGGAGGAAATGCAGAATTGCGGCACAAATCTAAACGGCTTGATGTACGGTCACGATATTCGGGACGTGGGGGGTGTAATCCGAAAACGAGTTGGGATGTCAAAGCTGGGGGCCAAAGGTCAAGAGGTGTAAAAGAAGGGGGAACATTCCCTCCTTAACTTAAGGTATAGGGAGGAAATGCAGAATTGCGGCACAAATCTAAACGGCTCGACGTACGGTCACGATATTCGGGACGTGGGGGGTGTAATCCGAAAACGAGTTGGGATGTCAAAGCTGGGGGCCAAAGGTCAAGAGGTGTAAAAGAAGGGGGAACATTCCCTCCTTAACTTAAGGTATAGGGAGGAAATGCAGAATTGCGGCACAAATCTAAACGGCTCGACG